TGATTTGTGTCTCAATGCTCCCTGCATTTCAGTTTTGAAATGACAATTTTGGCATTTCTGATCATAACATTAAAGATTCTGTCCAGGTCACATATGCAGTTAATATTCTTTTTTTTTCTAATTAATTTAATTTTCTTGTTACATTTTAAGTTCTAAGTTGTCTCCCTTTCTTCCTCCCCACCCTGCACTAGAGAAGGCCACCATTTGACACAGATTTATAAATATATGTAAAACCATACTATGCATACTTCTATTTATCAGTTCTTTCTCTGGAGGGGGAAAACATCTTCCATCATAGGTCCTTTGTAGCTGATTCAAGTATTTATAATACTCAAAATAACTTGATCATTCACAATTATTCTTAGAACAATTTTACTGTTACTTTATACATCATTTTCTTGGTTCTACTCATTTCATTTTTCATTATTTCATGCAAGTCTTTCCGTGTTTTTCTAAGATCATTGACCTCATCATTTCTTATGGAACAATAGTATTCCATCACAGTCATATGCCACAACTTATTCAGCCATTCCCCAATTGATGGGCATCCCCTAAATTTCTACTTCTTTGCCACCACAAAGAGAGCTGCTATCAATATTTTAGAACATATGGGTTCTTTTCCTTTTTCTCCGATCACATTCTATATAACATTCTTACAGGTATATTTTAAAAAACAAAAGTAAAATTTTCAGACTTCAATTATATTTTGGCTCCCAGAAGAGAAATGTTAGCTCAAAGAGCTACATATAAATCATTATTCAGAAAAGTGAAAGAAAGGTAGTTCAGTGGGCTAGACAGAAGAATAAACTCTGGCATCTTCTAGTTTCCAGCAATGTCACCTTAAATGCACTTGCCTTATACAATAACAGTGAAAGTTTTCTTTCCATTCTGAAGCTCAGCAAAGAGCCTTATTGCTCACATTCCATTCCTAATTTCTAATTTAACAATCTATAATAAACCCAGATAAAAATTCAAAGTTTGTACCCAATAAAATTTACAAATCCACACTTAGATGATCACGTCTAATTTTTTGTGGAATCATAAATGTAATCTTTTATTGCCAGTACAATAAATTATGGTAGAGAGAGATAGGGAGCAAAGAGAGACAGAAAGGAAGACAGAGACAGAGAGAGAGGGAAAGACACAGAGAGAGATGGGGGGGAGAGAGACAGAAAGAGACAGAGAGAGAAAGGGAGTGAGGGAGGGAGGGAGGGAGAGAGAGAGAGACAGGATAGAGACAGAAAGAGAAAGGGAAGGAGGGAAGGAGTGAGAAAGGGAGGGGAAGAGAGACATACAGAGACAGAGAGATTCCTTTATTTCCCATTATCTCTTCTTTTTCCATCTGGGCCAGATCAGAATGAAGAGTAATCTAAATAACTGCTCAAAACTGACTAAAATAGAAGACAATTCTGAAATTTAACAACTTCTTACTGAAATGCTTTCACTCTTTTTGAAGCAGGCTCCAACTTAATTTAAGGCTATTTGTTCTTTCTGAACAGTTCTTGTCAGAAACAAACGCTTTGGCTGGCATTCACACACTCGTATATTCAATGGATTGCCATAGCACATAGCAAGGCTCCCAAGTCAAAATCTAGGAACTCTTTGGAAGTCACTGTGTGCCCATCAAAGAGGGGTTCCCCTTCTTTTTTTTTCTCTTTCATCTATTTTAATTTAGCACTTCAGGCTTCAAGCATCTTTCCCTCTTTCCCCTCGCCTTTCTAAAACGCACTACAAATCTCTGGGAAATATTAGTTCATGGACATATTGGAATTCTCTCAGGGGCAAATTCAGGATTTCTGTTTCCCTTTGCTTCAGCCCGCTGTCAACTTCACTAAGGAGAAACTTGGTCCATGAGGTTGGCAACCACAGTGGAACTCTGCCCACAGAAAAGATCAGCTGGGGTGGGAATCAGTTCTGACAGATGGCTCACAAGACCAGGCATAAACAGGGAGAAGAAGAGAGATCGACCAGGACAACGAATTTGCAAAAGGCACATCACCTGAGCCTTAAGCACTGGCTATTTGGCTTTCCTGAAGGGCAGCCTAGGTGGCCGAGTGACTGACAAGTATGCTTGGTTAGGTCGGGGGAGAGAGGTTAGAGAAGCCAGCTGAGGCTCACTGAGCTGTCTGAAGGTCTTTTCAGGTATATGTTCTCAGAGCCAGATGATTCAGAATCCCTTCCACAGCAGTTAAGAGAGCATGAGTAAACAAAGGCTCTCTTACAGGAATCTACTTCTAGCAATCTGGCCACACAAAACAACAAAACCCAGCACTTAAGTGGTTGGAATCAAATAGAACAGAAAGAGGCTTCACCTCTGCGAACTAGCTGGACCACAACAAAACCAGAATTAAGCAGGATGACATTAAAGGTTCTTAGTAATGTGTAAAAAAGGGGGTGGGGATGGGAATACAAAGGATTCTGAGAAGTGCAGGTTTTGGCCTCTCCTCACTAAGTCCATGTGTTAGATTCCTGGTCAACAGGTCAAATCTCTCATGGGGAAAAAAGAGAATGCAGATCACAATGGTAGGGTAGAATTCCGTAAAACTTTATTGTTGTCACAAGCCAAGGTATCTATCCAAGGAAGAGCCATTTGGCTCAAAAAGATATGTCTATGAGGTGAATTGGCTCCTCTTATGAGCCATTTCTTAGAAAATAAAGAAGCAAAAAGAAACAGATTTAGGCTGGATTATTAACCGAGTACAAGAAAACAATGTTTTGAAAGAGAGAGAGAAGAGTGAGGAGAGAGAGAGAGAGAGAGAAGAGAGAGAGAGAGAGAGAGAGAGAGAGAGAGAGAGAGAGAGAGAGAGAGAGAGAGAGAGAGACAACAAGAACTTATTAAATGCTTACTATGTGTTAAGCACTATGTTAAGTGTTAGGGAGACACATAAGCAAATAAGATGGTCCTTGTCCTCAGGGAGCTTACATTCTAATAAGGAAGGCAATACATAAATAGGAATTGGAAAGCAGGAGAAGGCAGTAAAGGAGAAAGGGTATTTCCATGGGGACAAGGCAGACAGTAAAAAGATGGAGAAATTCAGAGAGTGACTGACATGGAGATGTAGGCAAAGGATTCACCAATCAAGAGAGTGCAGCCTCAAGTGGAAGTTTCCCCAAGGTGGAAAGATAGACAACAATATAGTGAGTAAGAAGTCCAGAGAGGTGCTCCAACCAGTAGTGTGTCATGGATGGAGCCCCTTCTGTAACAGTGGTCCAGACAAGAGAGTCACTCATCCGGAGAATGGGGATTCAAGGAGAGGTTTCTCCAGGATAGGAAGGTGGCTGGCAGAGTGGAGAAGTCCATAGAATAGGTTGAGCCAAGAGTGTGAATGATGCACTGTGTGTCAATGATAAAAGCAGTCACAGAATGCTCTTTGGTGTAGTTCCAAATTGCTCTCACAACTCTACCTATAATGCATTAGTGTTCCTATTTTTCCACATTCCCTACAACATTTGTCATTTTCCTTTTCTCCCATTTTAGCCAAGCTGATAAGTGTGAGGTGGTACCTCAGAGTTATTTTAATTTACATTTCTGCAATGAATAATGTTTTAGAGTATTTTTTCACACGAATATAGATAGCTTTGATTTTTTTAAAAATACATTTGGACGGATAAGTTGCATGGGAAATGAAATCATAAATATTCTTTGTGAGGAAAACTCAAAGAATCAAGAGCACCTGTATGATGTCATGGGAATAGGTCTTCCAAGAACCTACACAAAGAGCCATTGAGCCTGTGGTCTAATCCCAGCTTCACCACTAATAACAATAATAATGACAGTTTGCATTTATATGGAACACTCTAGCCATGATTCATTTTCACCTAAATTTGATCAATAAGCTTGTGAGGTGAGGGTGGCTCAAATACTATGTTCTCCATTTCAGAGATAGAGATACTGACGCTCAATGAGTTTTAGTGACATGCCCAAAGTCATGCATAAGCAACAGGCATGAACCCTGACACAAACAAGTAGTGATCCGATCTTAGATGAATTGCTCATTCTCTGGGTCTCAGTTTCTTCCCTTCTAAACTGGGGGAGATTGGAATAGATGAACTTAAAGCTTGCTCTCATGCTCACAGATTCGATGTTCCTGAGTGTTTCTAATTCCCAGCACCATAAGAGATAAGCTGACTAACATTTAAATAAATGCGCATTCAACACGTTTTTTACTTCACCATTCTGGACTATGGAATTAAGTGGCACTTCCATATGCTTGACCTTCAATGGAATGGGATCAAGGAGAGGAAGTAGAATGGTCTTCCCATACCCTATGGGGCAAATTCTCAATCCTCCTTCAATAAAGCGCAGAGCACCCTCCTAGAACCCACTAACTGTAACCAGGAATGCCAGTCAACTTGTTCTCCCCATCAGAACTGAATAAGGCTCTGGCCAAACACACTCCGCAGGCATTCCTAAAGACCAGGTCACATATTAGTTTCTCCCATTAGATTTCCATGACCCAGGCTTAGGGAAAAATCAGGGCTAGAAGAAAATAGCATTTAAGTAGTTGTTCATCCACTTCAGTGCTTTGCATGTATTGTTGTCTGACCAGTTGCCTACTCTTACAAAGCCTTTAGAAGACCATCTCTTGACAATTACATGAAGGGAGGCAAATGAGTTGGAGAAAAACAAATACTTCCTCTGCAGAAGTGAAGAGAGGACAACACGAAATTCCCTTCAAAACTAGAGAGGAGATAGAGATAACTATATGTGGGAAGGTGCTCAAGCCAACTGAATGGGCTCAAGAGAGCTGATTGTTAAGTTATTGGTGTGAATACTTACACCTTAGAAATCAGCAAATGCCACAAATCATGGTTCCATTGTCTTGTTGATTGTCAAGACTTAGAGCCATAGAGAAAATGTGTGTCATAGGTACAGTTTTGTTCATTTTTTCCTGAAAGCCGGTTGTTAAATACTTATCAGCACACCACTGACTCCATTAAGATAACAACTTCACTTTTCCAATCTTAATGTTAACAACCTGTCATTGATTCCTCCACAGGTTTAAGAGTACAGAGTTTGCCTGCATCAACCTCCTTTCCTGTTTCTCTTCCAACAAAATTTACCACATTATCTCCAGTCTGGACCAATCCTCCACAAAATACTGTTGATGTTACCACCTCCTCCAGCAATAGCACACAGAATAACTCGTTATTAACAGTGACATTGTCAGCTGAGACAACTCCACTTCCTGGAAACATATCAGTAACATCAAGAGACCCAGAGAGCACCAGCAAAGTCTCCATACAAGAATCCACAGTTACTGCTGTTGATCAGGAGGGAAAAGGAAACACAAAAGACCAGTCACTGCCTAGGATATTGCCAACAAGCAGCCAAGACGAGTTTATAACCACCCATGCAGTACTCAGCTCTGCAATACCAGAAATCAGTAATGATACAACAACTCCAAGTACAGTTTTGCCTCCTCCATCAGACGGAGAAGCAGTCACCTCCCCTCAGCCATGGGCCTCATCTTCTTCATCGTCATCTTTGTTGCCACCAAAGGTATCTCCAACCAGTGTAGTCACAGACTCCACTGCAACTGAAAGCCCGACCCATGAAGAGAGCAGTGAAGGACCCTTGGGAACTCCCACAGCTACACCCCCTGGAGCTGACCTCATTCCTAATGAGACCCCAACACTTCCTGCTTCATCTGGGCCTATGACAGAAGAGACAACTTCCCAAGTGACTATGCCAACCTATGCGGCGGAAGGCACTGACAGCAATACGGTGTCCCCTCGGATAATCATGGACCAAGTTCAGCATGCATTAAGTTCAGGTGAGTGGAATGGATCTAGAACATTAGAACCCAACAATGCCTACAGGTGTGAATTAGTTTTAAAGATAACTGGCAAGTGGAAGCTACTCATTTGTCAGTTAAAAGCCAAATTCTAAGTGTTGAGTTTGGAGTCATACCTCTTGGGCAAATGTAGATGACACATGGATGTCAACATTCTATCTTATCCATAGACACAGAGAATTCAATTCCCGCAAACATCCCATGGACCCTTCTAGATCATGTCTACTGATGGCCTACAATTTATTTCCAGCATTGTTGCCCCAGAGGTGATACAACATTGCCCATTGCTTTAAAAAATTGTGCATGATTTTTAATTGGGTCAAAGTACTTTTTTGTGTATATGTACAGTTTGAAGTTTTAGAAAGTCTTGAAAGGTTTAAAAGCAAGTAGAAAATGCTTTTTTTAAAAGAAAGTTAGATGGGTGAACTCTAAGGAAATAAGACACATGAGCTTTAAAAATGTAATGTTCTATGTGAATAGAGTACCATACCTGGAGTAAGGAGGACCTGAGTTCAAATCTAGCCTCAGACATTTACTAGCTGGGTGACCCTGGCCAAGTTACTTAACCTTGATTGCTTCAAAAAAAAAAAAAAAGTAACATTCTTTGGTATGTTTGAGTCTTTTAGAAAACTTCAGATGTTTAACTACAGATAATTGTGTTTTGTCTTCCATGGCGCTAATGCTAATGTTGTTGATGATGAGTCTACCTGCCTCAGTCTCTCCCCTCTCCATTCTATTCTGCATTCAGTCACTAGAGTGATTTTCTGAAAGCACAGGTCTGACTAGCAGCTCAATAGACTCCAGTGACTCTGTCACTTCCAGGATCAAATAGAAAGTTCTGTTGGGCATTCAAAACCCTTCATAACCCGCCCCCTCACACCTTCCAGTCTTCTTACACCTCACTCTCCTGCATGCACTCTTCAGTCCAGTGACACAGCCTCCTCTTGGCTATTCCACAAAACAAGGCACTCCATTTCTTGATTCCAGGCATTTTCTCTGGCTGCCCCCCATGCTTGGAACACACTCCCTCCTCTTCTTAGCCTCCTGGCTCCCTGGCTTCCTTCAAGTTCCAACTAAAATCCCATCTTTTACAAGAAAGCCTTTCCCAATCTCACTTAATTCTAGCGCCTTCCTTCTGTTAATTATTTCCTACTTATCCTGTATATAATTTCTTTGCATATATTTGTTGTGTCTCCCATTAGACTGAGGGCAGGGACCATCTTTTGCCTTTTTTGTATACGCGATGCACTGTTTGGCTCTTGGTATACACCTAATAAATGCTGATGGATTGATGACTCCTTTCTGTCTTAACAACTGTCCTCAATAAACTTTTTAAGTTAATTATTTCACCTAGATACAAACTCATTCTCTGAGTCTCACATCTCCCTAGGAATGACCATGGGTCTGACACCCCTTTCAGGAAAGAGAATATAAAGGATGAGCCCCACTCCCTTCATCATGCAACAAAATTGGGCATTTATTTTCCCTTATTTTCCATTCTCAAATCCTGGTGTGATTTAGTGTCTGGGACATCTGCAGAACTGATTAGCAAATATGGCAGGATCAAAGTGATTAATTTCATAGCCAATGGCTCAATTTAACCAATGGTGCTGTTGGGATTCTTGAATCTTTGGACTGAGCTAATTATTGTACCCATTCATCTCCTGCTCTGCAGCTTTGGGGTAGGCGACTCTGGAGCGCTGCCCTTTGCTCTCTTCCTGTGTTGTGTGATGAAAATGATAGATTGACTTTGTGTTTGACAACTACAGGGTCAGTAGCCTGCCTGGGGCTCTCAGCATGTTTTCCTTCTCTATCACCTGTTTGCATTTCATGTTGTCTTTGAATGTAGAAAATGCCAAACAGGAAGGTCGCTCTTGTTAGAACTGGTATACCCTGGAGTAAGGGTTCTTAATCTAGGGTCCATGGACTTCCAAAGAGTCATGAAGAGACTTCAAGGTATCCATTAACTTGGATACAGAAAAATACACAATTATTTCAATATAATTTGTTACCTTTGCAATCGTATGTATTTTATTTTATGCTTTTAAAAACATTGTTCTAAGAATGGACTACATGCTTCATAAGACTGCCAAAGAGCCCATGACACAGAACAGGTTAAGACTACCTGACTTAAAGGAATTTTGTGGCTGTGGGAAGTGGCATTGAGATATTAACGTACCTAAGGATGTTAATATGTTTTGTTATGTTAATGTGCTTTGGCATCAATGTGGAAAATGGACTGAAGTGGGGAGGCAGGGAACCCAATTAGCAGGCTCTTCTACCAATCAAGACTTGAGGTGATAAGGGTCTGAACTAAGGTAAGATCAGTGTGAGTGGAGAGAATTAGATGTGAGTGAAACTGTCATGTAAGAACCTCAAGATCTGGCAACTGATTGGCTCTGTGGGGTGAGGGAGAGTGAGAAGGGAAGAATAATACCATGGTTACAAATTTGGAAGGCTCTAAGTGTGGTAGTACCTTCAAGGCTTAGAAGAAGAGTGAGGTTGAGGGGAAAGATAATAAGTTCTGTTTAAGACGTGTTGAGTTTGAAATGTCAGTCAATATGCATTTATTAAGTGCTTACTGTGTGCTGAGCACTGTGCCAAGTGCTGGGCTCAGGACCAACAATTGGAAATGTACAGTGGGTAGTGGGTGAAAGACGCTAAAGCCAAGCACATAGTTCTGGGAGTCGTCTGCCAGGAGACAATAATGAAACCAATGAGAGTTGATAAGGTGATCGAGAGAGAAAATGTAGAGGGAAAAGTATGATAACTTCACCATTATCACTCACCATCTCCCAAGTGCTTCAGAAAGAACTAACAGGCATCTGAAAATACCCCAGTGCCAATGCAATATGTGAAATACATCGAAATAATAAATAAGTGTAAATAAAACTAGTAAACATTAAATAATAATAAATATTAAAAAATAACAAATATTAAATAAAATAAATACCAAGTAAATGCTAAAATAAACTAATAAATGATATATATTAAATAAAACTAATCATAAATAAATGTAAATTCAAAGAAATATAAAATAAAACCAACTCCTCAATCTCTCTGCATCTACCCCCAGTTTCCAGAGAAAGGTGCACAGTCTCTCCCCAAAACAGAAGGAACCCAGTGTTCACTTATCATGTGTAGCAATCTCCTTGATAAACATATTAAGTTCACCTCAAAGGCTGAGATGATGAGGTGTTTATTTTTTCCCTTATGTTGGCTGCTGGCCAGGCTATATTTATGCCCTTCAGTCTCAGGATCACGTGGCTGACAGTTGGGGAGCCCTTTAAGGGAAGGAAGTAGATTTGCTTCTTGGGTAACAGAAGACTTTTCTGGGGTTTTTCCCCCCCTGTTCACTGCCAAACAAGGTATAGTTCTCTGTAACTTCTTTCAAGGTTCCCTCCTCATTTTCTCACTCTGACTCTGCCTTCTCTGTCCTCTCCCAAAAGCCCAGTACCAATTTTCTCCATCTAAGGACCTAACACTAACCTGCCTGCATCTTAGCCAGCTGGCATACTTGTACACTTTGGACATTTTCTACCTCTATCCCACAATTCCCTCTCAGCTCATAATTATATTACTTCAGCCTCTAATTCTTTTAATTTCTGGCACAACTGGACTTTCTCTCAGAGAAGCTTCTCCAATTGTTTTCTGTCTCTTGTGGGATCAACCCTAAGGGAGGTAATGTGTGTTCTTACCTTTCTCTCACTCTCTCCAGTCTTTCAATTTAGCCATAGCAGGTGAAGGGCATTCAATAAGAAGATGCACTGATGACACCCCAAGTTGATTCAACTGAGTCAAGCTGCCCTGCTTGAATTGGCCATGATGGTCTATCATCACATCCTAGTACCAAATAGAGATGACACCCAGGTTAAGTTGTAGTTCTCTGGACAGAAGTATATGAATCCTCCAGATAAGGAAGGCAGGACAATAATAGCGGAAAGAATTGACATGAAGGCATCAGGGTTTAGTAGGCTTAATGAAGAAATGAACCTACTTCATAGATGCCATTTATGGACAGTTCTTCTTCTAAACATCCCAACAGCAACAAATCTTTAAGAAACTCCTGATTCACAATCGGTGTTGAAATTTGCCCTTGACAAGCTGAAATTTATTTCTCCATGGAGGAAATAAGCATGTATGAAGCTCCTACTATGTGCCAGCTCTATTCAAGTACTTGACAAATATTATCTCATTTGCTCCTCACAACCACCCCAGGAGGTAGATGCTGTTATTATCCCCACTTTACAGATAAGGAAACTGAGGTTAATTGGGGGTAAGTGACTTTCATAGGGCCACATAGCTAGTAAATGTCTAAGGCAGGATTTGGACTCAGGTCTTCCTGACTTCAAGTCCAGTATTCTATTCATTGTGCTAACTACCTTGTCTTTAGGAGAAAATATCTCTCCCTTCACATGAGGTATCACCAAGACATGGAGAATATCACAAGATCTAACTGTAGAAGGGGACCTTGGACCTCCCTAATCCCCACAGATTTCCTATAAGTTTGGAATCTCCCTTGAATTCGCGTCTCTCTCTTTTCTTTACAGAGATTTAATTCATAGCATTCCAAAGTAGCCACAGATCAGACCATAAAAAATTTCTCCATTCTGTGCTGGCATCTACCAGACTCAGAGAAGCCCTGAGGCTAGCAGGAATGACATTTTCAGCAGGAAGAGTCAGGCTGCATTTAGCAGTAAGGGAGAAACGTGTGCCCAAACAGCTACTATCAGGAAAGGGAACAAGGAAACCTTTTGTTATGGTTAAAAAACTGGTGCAGGGGACATCGTTGATGATGCAGGAGTCCTGAAATGAAAGGCAGTACAGTGTGGTGAATGGTGGGCTAGAGGTGGTTTAGTAAAGGGTATTGTGGGACAGCAGCTTGAAAGCTGGAAGTGAAGGCCATCTAGTAGTGTTGTTAGGTCATTTTTTCAGTTGTATCCAACCTTTCATGACCCCATTTGGGGTTTTCTTGGCAA